CAGCTGTACTCATGAAAAGTGAAGTAAAAGAAAAAACGAAAACCAAAACCAAAAACCAGGTTGCACCAGCCAGCGTAGAGCAGGGCTGGAAACACTCAGGGAGGCAGATTTGCCCACATCCCCTGGGGTGGCCCAGCAGGACGGGGTTTTCCAAGGTTAATCTGTAGTTTGTTATCAAACAATTTTCTGAGGGCAACATAGGCCAGAAGAATGTGGAGGAGAGGTAAGGAGCTTGACAGGCTTAGGTTTATGGCCTAATGTTCCTCCCAGCCAGAGATTCTGGCTAAGTTCGTGTGTTCTCTGAACTCTGGCTTCCTCAGCCCCGACTCGGACTGCGAGGATGACAGTGAAACCTACTTCAGAGTGGGGTGGTGTTAGGATTACATGAACTAATTAAAGGGTACATTTTCATAGAGCAAGTGATCAGTAAAAGGGAGATACTGTTAATTACTGTTAGTACTTGGAAAGCATTCGGTGCTCTGCTTGTTCTGTGCAGACAGCAAGAAGTTGCCTGCCTTTTCAGTCAGACTACCGTTGTCTGTGGGGATCATGGCAGAAGTCAGGACTCACCCAGGGGGACAGAAAGCCAGTAGAATGGCTCTCTGTCCACCTGGCTCTCACAGCTAGGAGAACACACAGCAGTGTTAACTGTCTCTACCAGCCAGGACGGTCCTCAGCGTGATTTCTTATTGTCGATTATTCTGACACTGATTTTGCCCAGGTATTTTATATCAATAAATTGTATCCACCATGTAGGACACTGTTATCATAGAGCTGAGGGATGGTCTTTAAATGTTCAGGCCCAATGCTCTATTGGTTGCCTCTAAAGAGCAATCTTGTCACCCCAAGGCTAGGGTGATTTCCTGCCAATGAAGATGATTCTAAACAGGGGAGAAAGTTTGGGCCAATTTGGTGAAATCCTAGAGACATAAGTTGTTATCACTGGTCTTGACACTGGGTGAATGTGAGAGCACTGCTTTTCTCCACAAGGTACCCCTTGCCCTATCCTCATGTTTTTGAATGGGAACCCATTGCATCTTTCCAATTTCTTGTTCTCTTTTCTTCCTGCTTAATAGTAAACTGAGTTTCATGATATATTGTAAATTATATTTCCAGTACTGTAAGCCTGAAGATGTTGGGAGGATACCCACAGAAAAGTGCATGGATGGAAAGCTGGTTGGGGTTGGAGTATAAACTCTTCTCAAAATGGGTTCCCAGAGGAAGTTTTCTTTCAGGGCATTTATTGTAATGATATTGAAAAGGGCAGGCTCTGGATTAAGACAGTTGGAGAGTTAAGGCCTGAATGGCCTGACTGTTCATTAAGTCTTACATATATAGCAGAATGGAAGTGACAATGTTTATCACACAGAAGAGCTGAGGGAAAAGTGTCAGAAGTAGCAAACATTTCAGAGCGTATTTCATGTACTGAGCACTGGAGACAGCACTTGGAGACAGGTTCATTATCATCCTTACATGCAGACAGGGAAGTTGAAAAACAGAGTGGCTGATAAACTGGTCCCGAATAATACAACTAACAATTCACAATGCCAGACCCAGAGAACCATAAACCCCTGCCTTTAACTCATATCGAAAGTCTATGGACATCAAGTCATCGGAGGAAAATTCTTTTCAATGCCAGGTATGAAGCTGAATTTAATAAGTGTTGACTGTTGTATTATTACTACTCCCTACTAAAGCTACACTATCTGAAAATTCTTCAAAAAGTTTAAAGAATTTGAAACAGTCCAGTTTCAGCTTCAAATATTTTATGTTCCAGGTTATGGCTGATTTTATGTGCCCCATGGACAAGGCGCCTCATTTTGTTTTCCTTATGAAAACATTTAGATTTCCTTAATGTCTGAAAAAGTTTCCATGGGACAAAAGAAGTCTTTTTACAATATGTTTTTCTAAATCTTGGTAAACAAGAGAAATGGACAATGATTAAATAAAATTGCAATTTCAAGAACTTCCCTAGGCTTCATTTTATTGGATGACATCCTAGGAAGAGGATCAGATTAATGCCAACTCATATGTGAAAGGAAGAATTTCAAGGAAGTTTAGTGGCGTAGAAGGTGGTTCACCTGCCAGGCAGAGTATGCATAAGAGTACACGCTACTGTATCAGACAGTGTATTCAAGTCTAGATCCTCTCACTTACTACACTGGTGACATTGTCCTCTCAAAATTTCACATTCCCCTTTAAAAATAGAGATAATAGTGGATAATAGTTGAGATTACCCAGGGGGAGGTCTTGGAAGTTACTAGGGTCTCAGTAAAACTTCTCTGCCAGTACCGTTAATATCTCCATCATCACTGAAGAAGTTGCAAAAGTGTTACTGAAAAGTGTGGTCCTGACAGTTGGTGCAGTTCTCTCCATGTCTGATCATTGCCTGCGGGGCTCTACCTCCCTCCAAAAATCACCAAAACTCTTTCTTTGCTCCTGATTCAAAAATTTATTTTCTTTTAAAAACGGCAGCTTCTAAAAGCTTCAAATAAAAAAAATCACATCAGGGAATAGAACTAAATAAGGGGCACCTTAACAACAGTCTTAGAATCTACTGGAGGACCAGGTATAAAACCAGATGTCTTTTAAATCAACAGGACAAAGCTGATGCCAGAAAGGCTTACCGCCGATTATAGTCAAGAACACATAAGTACAAGAAGGGACCCATAAAAACCACCAGCATGTGAAATACTGCCAGACGCTGTGTGGTTGCCAGACAAAATCATCACCAGGCTGGATTCTCATGCTGCTTTCTGCAAAATGACTCTGCTGGGAATTAAAGTCAATTCCTCAGGCAGCTGTGTGGGAAAGGAATTCTGCGAAGAAGCCTCTTCCTCTGATAGATTTCGTCCAGAACTTTGGATTTTCTGCAAGGAAACTTCTGCAAGACAAACTCACTTCACTGCTTACAGGGCTGGTTCTGTGAGTAAAAAAGAAACTGCTGGTTTCTCCATCACCATCACATATAGAGGCTGGCACCACATGTATATTTCACACCAACATCACTTGCTACAGAGTATGGGTAACCACTTGCTTTTATAGAAAAAAAAAATGAGAAGCAGAAGTGCCAAGCAACTTGTCCACACTTGCAAGAAGCAGAGCCCTCAGAAACAACCTGGATCCTCTGACCCTTGGCATTAGCCTGTTTCCATGCTGGAAATAAATGATATCCAAATAGCAGCATGACATACACCCAGCCAGTGCTAAGATCGATACCCTATCACGACTGGAAGGGCAAACGTGGTTACTCATAGGCAGTGCTGCTTATCAAAACTGTCAGCAGAGCCAGTTTACTATATCCGACTGTTTCCCAGGGAGCAAAATCTACTTGATGCCTTTTAGAACTTTTCTTTATGTGACCCAAGAATGAATTCAGATGCCCCTTGAGGTCTTGAAAATGCAGGTGTCCTGTACTTCTGTTTTTACAGTGACACATTTGTCTCCCCATGAGTGGAGGTATCAAACAGGAGGGAGACAAGCTGGTGGTCAGGTTTCCGATTCCCTTATAGTATTCACACAGAAAAGGTTATCTGAATCTCTACTATGAATAGGAACTCTGCTAAGCCCTGAGGACTCAGTCTTGCCCAATAGGCAAAAGACAAAATGGAAGGTCTGGCATTCTTAACTTACATACTACTGGGGGAGATAAAAAGCAAACAAGATAAACTTATCAGACTGATAAGTATTATGAAAGCTATGAATACAGTGAGAGAAAGTAAATGGGGTGCAGAAATATTTTAGATCTGAGTTGAAACCTGATGGGAGACAGGGGGCTAATTATAATAATAATTATAGGGAAAATTATTCTAGTCAGAGGGTCTGGAGGAGGGAAAGGACATGGCCGGCCAATGCTGCTGATTCACTGAACTCAGGAACTAGGTATTAGCTGAGGGTGGGGTGTGGATCAACTATGGCGTCATGAGGAGCCTGGGAAGCCATGCTTTGGGTTAATTTTAAGTGGCTCCATGTACTGGCCTGGTGTTCAGGTCTCCTTCTCCTAAGGGCATTTCCTTCTTTCTTCTACTGGCAGTTCTAGATCTTCCAGGAGTCACCTTGTGCCTCAGATGCAGTCTCTAAGTTCTTAATGACATACAGCAGGTGGGTGACATATTATTGCTGACAGTGGGCTATTAATTGTCTCCAAGCCCACTGGAAGGGGCAACAATGGAGGCTTTAGCTCTAAATTATTTGGTGAGCACCATAGCAGGAGATGGATGGAGGCTGTCAGCTTTGTCCTTCTAAAGAAGGCTCTTTACAAACCCAGACCATTCCACACTGGCTCTGTACACGGAACTGGGAAGATTAGGTTCAACATCACCTCAACAAGGTAAGTCCAGAGCCTGGGCTTTGTAATCAGTGATGGTGCTTTGGCTCAGGCCACCACACTGAGTCTTATATTCTTTGATTACTGATGAGGATGGCAATAGCACCTGCCTGTGGACTTTTAACCCTACATGAAGCACTTCAGTCATGCTTTATAAATCATGACTTTATTAGTCGCTAATCATTACTGTCTTTATTATATACCATCATAAAAAACCTCAACTCTTCCTCTCTTCCTTATCCATATTTACTTCTTTCAAAAACCCACTTGACAGTTTCATACATTTTTACAAAGAAACCCTACTACAAGTAATGACCAATACCTATATAGGTTCTCCATAGAGGTAACATTTCCAAGAATTAGGCAGCAAAAGCCTATGCTTCACTGTAAAGCAGGAGCCAGCACCAGAGCACATCACCATCAGCAATAGCTCTCGGTCACCCACAAGTCCTGGCCTGCTCCTTAGACAAAGAGCTTCCCAGATAGAGCCTGGAGCAGGAGCTACAGGTAGCTGATGCTGGATACAGCTCTATCTGTAAGACCTGGAGCACTAGGGTCAAGGGCAGTCTCAAAGGCTCCCTTTGAAGTGACAACTGTGCCTGAGGCCAGTCAGCAGTGGACAGCTGAGGACAAGAAACCAAACTGTAGTCTCAGCATCTATCAAGGGACTTACCTCCTCCCTCCTGGATGCAGGCTCCACAGCTATGGCAGGGAAAGTCAGCACTCCTTGGGTGGTGTTCTTACACTGGTGGGCCAATGGGGACAAAAGCACGGCTGCTGCCACCCCCGGTTATCTCACCAAAGGGGAGTGACAGGGAGAACTCTCATTATATCTCTGGTTGAAACAGAGGACTGAGTTCTTGAAGCTCAGCCTACAATTTCATACACCTGAACACAAATCCTCCACCCTGATTTCCTGCTCTTATGGCCTACTGTAGCAACTTGCTTGGTCCCGCCCTCCTTATCCATTCTAGGCTGTGTTCCAAGCCCTCATCCCCACCCTCCTCCTCTTCCTACTTGGGTCCTGGCTCGACTGGCCTGACCAGATCACGTGGCCTAGAGAGGCTGCTATGTACCTGCTTGGTTCCAGATTTCTACTAGCTTGATTCTGGCTTTTGCAACCTATTTTGAGAAGCAGAATTTGGGACTTGGGCCAGACCAAGGGAAAAATGGAAAGGAGCAGTTGTTTGAAGCTTGAATAGAAACTTATATCTCTGCTTAGCTCTAGCCACAGGTTGACTTCATTCCAGGCTAAGGAGCCACTCTAATACCTAAGATGCATCCATACTGCACACCTACCTTAGAGATGCCAGATTTTCTCATGACAGATTTGGTAGCTACTTTTAATTTTAGCAGAGAAAACTTGAGCAACAAAGTCAAAATCTGCTCCCCAGTCCCAAAGGAGTTTCCTTGTTTTCCTCTGTGCAACAAGGAGAATGTAGGGATATACTGCATGTCTGTTATTAACATGCAATTAGTCACTGATTTAGATGTTCGATTGAATTAACAGGTGGCCTTCATGATAGGGAGTTAAATTATCCCTGAAAAATGACAATCATCATTCTGTTCTTGAATGTAAGAATTTTGGATTTTCTCACTTTGGTAAAATTATTATTCCTTCCTGATCAGACATTGCCAGAATTTAAGATTATAGGAATTAACTGAGTTACTGAAAACAGATTTCTGCATGAAATTGAAGATTCCAGGAAGGGTTGTAAATATGGGATTCCGATGAGTGGCCTTGTACCTTGTATCTTAAAGAAATGCTAAAGAAATTAAAAAAAAAAAAAAAAAGAAATGCTGCCTGAGAAGAACTCTAAGGTTCCTATTTGGCATCTCTGGTTTCCTTCTAGAGTCAACTAGGGACCCTCTGTTCCCCATTGCTTCCAACCCACTTTTCTCCCCTTGCCCTCAAGAGTCTCCCAGTTGACTCTAGTGATTTCATTATCCCACTATGAGCTTTGTCAAAGTAGAGAGTCTACGCCTCAGAAGTATGTCAGCTATCAGAGGTCTTAGAAGTGACTTCCCTGAATGCTTCTTATTTCACCAGTGTTGGGAGCCGTGGCACTGTCAAGTCATCAGACGCGGTGATTGCGAGGCCTGTGGGAAAGTACAAAAGCCTGGGCTAGATTACCCCTCTCATCGAGCCCGCCTGTGTGGCACCTGTTTCTTATCACCCCACTAAGTTCCCGCCTCACAGGGTAGTCTGCCTAGCTATTAATCCTATATATAGCCAGTGCCTCCACCCCCGAGAGAGAGAGAGAGAAGCACAAAAGGAGCCGCGGGGAGCGGACCGGTAGAGGCTTCGAGAGAGACTGAAGCACAAAAGGAGCCGCGGGGAGCGGACCGGTAGAGGCTTCGGGGGAGACTGAAGCACGGAAGGAGCCGCGGAGAGCGGACCGGTAGAGGCTTCGGGGCAGACTGTGTAAGGAGAGAATAAAGAAAAGCCTGACCACCGCCAGACCTTGTCGTGTGTCTTTCCTGCCGGCCGGGAGCGGACATCGACATTTGGTGGCCCGTACGGGGATTGATCAACCCCGAGACGCGGCGGTGGACTGCATTCTCCTACACAGTGCTGCAGCTGCAGGACAGGTGAGTAGAGGATAAGCCTGGGCCCTGGGTGGCGCGCACCTACAGGGTTTGTAGACTCCTCTCAACCTCACGCGTAAGTGGCGGGTTTCTTGGGCCTCACGCGGTGAGTGTGATGTTGTCTGTTTTGAGAGATAGGCTACTGCTTGGAAAGAAGGGTGTGTGTGTGTGTGTGTGTGTGTACTAAAACTCCTACAGCATTATGATCTTGAGTGGTAGAAATCTTGGGTTGGTCTAAGGAGAATGAGAGCTGGGGCCTTTGAAACAGCCTCTTTTAATTTAGAAAATGAGAAGTAGGAGTAGTGGATATGAGGCTTAGATACACAGCCTTGGTGTTGGTCCTTCGGAGACTCCTAAAGTCCAAGGACCTCAAGGTGGGGCGTTAAGACTTTAGAAAATTTCCTTGCAGAGATTGACAGCTTTGCTCCCTGGTTTCTGCCTACAGGGCATGTAAACCTGCCCTCCTGGGAAAAGTTGGGCAGAGACCTTTCCCTAGCAGAGCGGGAGGGTAGAGCTTCAGTCTCTGCTCGTCCATTGTGGGAAATGATACACACGTGCCTAAAGAGTGAGGGTAGTTACGGGGGGAGCTCTCAAGAACTTGTAGAAGTACGCGAGGTGTTTGAACAGGCACAGTGAGGAAGCTCCCGAGAAGGGTCCGTCAAGGAGGGCAGAGATACAAAAGAGGAAGCCGAGGCGCGGTTTGTGTCTTTCCGCAGGAATCGGGACGAGAACCAATGTGGGTCCCAGAGAGGTTGACGCGACAAGTCCCTCGACTGAAGATCAGGCCTGTTCCACCAGAGGCCAACCGCAGACCCAACAACAAGATGAGCCCTAAAAGAACTGCAGGACAATCCCTTTTTGGGGGCCTGGAACGGCTTGCTCCCCTATGTGCTACCCTTGTATACGCATGGCTCGCTCGCATGACCTACGACCGCGTTTAAAAGTGACAGGCTTCCCACATTCTCCTCCCTAGACAACAACATGTAGCAGGGTAGATGAGTCAATGACGGGTAAGAGCGTGCCTCCCCAGCACGACTCAACCTAAGCCAGGCCCTACCCCGTTCCGCTCGAAAGCCGCTGGATTGTTAGATAAATTTCTCTCCGAGGGGATTCGTGGAGAGAAATGAGTGCATGCCTATGTGCAACCAGGTTCCGTCCGGTTCATTCCTGGCCCTAGAAAAAAGGACGAGGGCCTCAGGGCCTTGGTGGACCCTGGGACGGCCGACCAGGGTCTACGCTAAGGGCCTACGGTGGGCCTCAGTTCGGGGCATAGGCCTCTGCACTCTATCCAGGACGGGCTGCGATGCGCGTAGCCATCATTTAAAATAAAATAGGGGGAGATGTTGGGAGCCGTGGCACTGTCAAGTCATCAGACGCGGTGATTGCGAGGCCTGTGGGAAAGTACAAAAGCCTGGGCTAGATTACCCCTCTCATCGAGCCCGCCTGTGTGGCACCTGTTTCTTATCACCCCACTAAGTTCCCGCCTCACAGGGTAGTCTGCCTAGCTATTAATCCTATATATAGCCAGTGCCTCCACCCCCGAGAGAGAGAGAGAGAAGCACAAAAGGAGCCGCGGGGAGCGGACCGGTAGAGGCTTCGAGAGAGACTGAAGCACAAAAGGAGCCGCGGGGAGCGGACCGGTAGAGGCTTCGGGGGAGACTGAAGCACGGAAGGAGCCGCGGAGAGCGGACCGGTAGAGGCTTCGGGGCAGACTGTGTAAGGAGAGAATAAAGAAAAGCCTGACCACCGCCAGACCTTGTCGTGTGTCTTTCCTGCCGGCCGGGAGCGGACATCGACACACCAGCACAGATATTGAGCTCTGGCCCTGCCCTTTCTTCACCTAAAGCTCAAACATCAGCCTGCTGCTACTCCCAGGTGATTTGCCATCCCCTGAGAGTTATCTGTCTCCAAGCCAAATACCCATGCCAGTTACTCTACAGGTTCTAGCACTTCTGGGGGTGAATTAATGTGCATGAGGTGCAGGAGCCCATGGTTCCCTACTCCAAGACTGTGTTTAGACCCGTATTTCTTAAGAAAGGTTAATTCTAAAATGAGCTGCCCACATCCTACCTGCTCCTCCCATTATCCTGGTAACTAGATCTGATAGGACTGTTTGATCACATCATTCACTTACTTGTAAGACAAGAAATACAGGGTCCACTTGATTTAATCACTTTTACTATGTACCCAATATGTATAAGATAATATGTGGGCACAATATAGGGAGTGAAGGAGACCCAGGTAGACTTCAAGTTTATCAGTAAATTGGGTAAATGGCAGAGAAGGAAAATCAAATGTTGAGAGTGATTTGGGAAAATTCATATTTCAATGCATATACACACAACGGAAAAATATGCTCTTTTAAGGATGCCCAACCCTTTCCATTAGTAGCTTGGAGGGTCTTGTGTAACACAATGCAGAACCTCTGAGCTACGCAATCTTTTCTCTGAAATTGCCACTTACCAAATAACTTAATGCTGGCATGGTCTAGTGATTAAAAACAAACTCTGACACCAGATTTCTTGGATTCTGTAGTAGGTTCCTCCACTACTTCACTGACAAGTGGTTATGGGCAAAATGCTCACCTTCTCTGGGGGATTAATAACAGCACTTCCATCATAGAGCTTTTCTAGGATAGGGTGAACTAAAATAGATGAGTGCTTTATTGAAATGTTATCATTATTTATGAGATTATGACTGTTAGTACCTTGTGTGGTCATTTTCACTATGAAAGACTCCTAATAGTTTCCTGCCTAAAGATCACTAAGGTTTCTCAAACGCTTGTTTCACTTCCAGTGTGTTTTCTCAGTCCTGTTCTCAAGGTTCTCTATTAGTTTATCCTTGCTATTCCTCATACATTCATTTACTTATTTTTATTTGAGTTGACACCATGTGCTGTGAACTATGCTAACTGCTGGGAGTACAACACTAAAAAAGCATAGCCACTATCCTGGCCCTTAGAGAGTCAGTGGATACAGCAGATAGCGACAGCTAAATCACACAAAATTGATGAAATCATGATTGCAATAAATGTGAAGAAGGAGGGATGCCCAGTGCTGTGAAAGCACATGAGGAAGGATTTGACCTGGTCAAAGGATGACATTGTCATTGGAATAGAGTCAACTATAAAGCAGTTGGGATAACATCGTAAGTTTCCACACAAATACCATGTATCACATGTAGTAGTCAGCTTATTGCAGTAACACTGGACCTCCAAATCTCCACGGTTTCCACCACAAAGGTCTAGAGAGGCTGCTGGGTGACTGCAGTTCTGCTCGGATCACCCTTGTGCTT